TGAGGCAGGGCAGACCGATGCAAAGAAAGGCACGAAGCACAAACACGTACAGCACAGTATGGAGCAACTCCAGACAGAGAAGCGGAAGGAGCCGAGGCACATCCGCAGGAGCGCTCCAACGAAGCCTTCATGTAGGGAACTGACATCCGCAGACGCCATCTTCATTGACAAAAGCACACGGGACTTTCATCCTAGAACCCACCCTGGTGACACGCACGGTGAAGACAAGCTTCGACGACGCCTTCAGGAAGGAACATGACGCAGACTGCGCCGCCGCCGCCGGTCCGAGCAAGAAGACGGGTAGGGTAGACACCCAAGCAATTCAACACCATGGGTCTGGGAGGGCCGCAGCCGTGCCAAGGGCGTCGGGAGGAGTCCGGCAGCAAAGCAATCAGGCCGGCAAGCACCACACCACGCCCCGCACAGAACGACGACCATAGCACAGCGGACATCGAAGCCGAAGCGACCAAGCCGCGCCACCAGCCTGGCCGTGGCTAGCGCATGCCAAGGCCCCGCCCGTCGCAGAGCGGACCGCCGGCCTACACATCTGAGCAGACGGTGGCAGCCGGGCCCCAGGCTAAGGGCCGACTAGATCTGGCCACTGGTCGCTGTCGCTCTAGCCCCAGGTGCCTAGGAGGTCCTGGCAGCCTCCCCAGGCCGCCGACCGACCAGATCTAGCCGCAATCCCACAGCGTCCGCTCGGCACGAACGTCGAGGCAGTAGATCCGGAGGACCGCCTCCCCAGGACGCCGTGGGGGGAGGACCGGCGCACCGAACGCCATAACGCGAAGCCGAAGCCACCGTGGTAATGAAGCGCTAGCACTCGCTCCAGGAGCGGCCCTACCGGCGACATCGCAGATCCGGCAAGGGAGAGGCCAGATTCGACCTAGAGGGGCCTAGATCCAGACCGCCGGCCGGTGAACTCGTCGGAGAAACCCTGAGAAGAGGCATGGTGGTGGAGGAGGGGAGGAGGGGAAGGAAAGGGACCGCAACGGACACCTTTTTTCGGGCCGCTGCTGGCCGCCGCCGCCGCACGTCGGAGGGCGGCGACGGCGGCCGGAGGGGAGGCGGGAGGTGGAAGCCTGAGGGGCCCTGACGAGGTCGCCCCGAGTCGCCCAAGGGAGTGCTCAGGTGAAGGGAACAGCCCATGTAATGATGTAAGTAACAAATAAATGTATAGTGCTCGCATTGCCGCTCCAATCAGTTTACACTTCAGAAAATGGTTGTCTATGCTAATAAGTCAGCCCCGCTAAAACACTGTCCTTTTGTCCTCCAAATCTCAAATCATTTTATTTTGAAGTCACACCAGACATTTAATCATTTTATTCTGAAGTCACACATGATATTTATGCATGTGAAAAGAACCAAATATAGATATTTACGCATGTAACATATTAAGTGTACATATTTATAAATATAATAAACTTAAGTATACAAATTTATCCATATAAAACTAAACTAGATTTAGCTCATGTTCGCCTAAACAGCCGTTTAAACAGCTGTTTAGCCTGTTTAATGTTGTTTATCTCCGTTCCGTTTAGACCGTTTTTCCCTCTCTCTTTTTGACCGTTTAAACGGTTAACCGTTTAATTTCCGTTTACCCACTAAACAAAATAATTTATCATTATTTACCGTTTACTGACCGTTTAGACGAACACTGCTAGCAACACACGGGCACGAAGCGAACCTAGTGCAAAATAAAGGAGATGGCAGCCGGCGCTATTATTTTCGCTATCCGTGTGGAGTCTATCGACGATGCGTGGCGTATAAGTTCGGAAGGCAGCAGAATGGGGCGTTGTCTCACGTACCGTGCTGTGCCTGTACTGTGCAGCTAGTCTCCCACCGATTGCACGTGATTTTCGATCTTGTAGTCGTCCTTCTCCATGCCATTTGCAAATTGACAAGGTGCTGGAACGGGAAGCCTGCAACTGCAAGCATGGGAGAACGTGAAGTTGCCTCCTTTTTTCTTCATGCGTGATTTGCTTCTCAGCTCATCTGATCGTCGTGCTGGTGGTACGGTACTGCTGGATCAGACTGGCACTTGCAAGGCGCAGTACTAGCACGAAGCATGCAGCACCCGGGAGACGTGCAGCAAAAGTCGAGTTTGACCCAGAACGTGCGGCCAGATTGTTGCGGTGGCCGGTGTTGTCCGAAGGCCCGGCGTTGCTCACGTGTAGCGTGCGCAGCGGCTAGCGTCGCGTGGCACGGCAAGCAGGGAGGGAGGGCGGCCTGTGCACCACACAATGACACAAGGCCTCGCTTCCACAAGCTACCGGTCCGCTCGCGACCGCAAGACAACAGAGGCGCTGGAAGCTATCTCGGCCCAACAAGGGCAGTGCCACGGGTGCCGGGCATGTGCGAGCGCGAGGGCCGACGATCTCGCGGGCCCCGGGAATCCGGTGCGAGGCCTCGGGCAGTCGGGCCCTCGGTCGACGTGACCTTCCCACCACTGGTTCGCTCGACAGCCCGGGCCCGGCGGCGGTTGCCTTCTCCCTCGCGGTGGCCCGCCCCTCACATGCAGAGCCGTCGCCGTCCGGCTCCGTTCTCGCGCACATGCGCCTGCAGCTATCTGAGCGTCAGTTACGTCGTCTCGTTCCGGATCCGGAGATAAACAACTGTTCAGAGGAGAGCAAAAGAAATCGATAATTGAGAGACCAGGGCAGGGCTCTCGTTTTCTCATGCGTCTTGTCTCTCTTATTGTGTACTACTATTATATATACCACATATGTACTATTATAGTTTATTATCTCCGTCCCTAGCTCAAAAGTGACATTTTAGCTTGTATTAAGTCAAACTATCTCAAATCTTACTAAATTTATATAAAAATACTAATATTAATGATATTAAATAAATATCATTTAATTTATCATAGAATATATTTTCACAACATACATATTTGGTGTCATGTATGTTTATTTTTTTTCCTTTAAATGTGATCAAATTTAACGTAAAACAAAACTAAAATGTCACAATTTACGAGGCAGAGATAGTACTAAGAAAGAAAGCTTATGAGCACCTAAACTGCTACCCAACACCTCGCTGCACATCGCTTTTGTTGCACAAGTATCAGCCTGCATGATGCATCTAGCCAGTTTGGCAGTAGCTTATTTAGTGGAGCTGGAGCCATTTTAAAAAGCGTTTGATAAAAAGGCTTCATTGATAATTTTGTTATAATTTACGCCAAGTTTATGAGGAGTCAAGAGAAATCACAGACTTCGTCTCCTCGGTAGTCGCGGGGAGCCATTTGTTGGCATGCACCGTTTATTTGCCCAGGGACATAGCTAGAATAAATCCATGAAGAGTACGTTTGCTCTCTGAGTGTGAGGTTTTTTTGATACGAAGGTATAAATATGATGAAAATTTGCCTTTTCTCATTGTTTTTTTTACTTTTATGTAACAGTAGTATATATACCTTCGCCTCTGCGTTTAGCATGGCATCGCGGCAGGAGCTGGAACAAGGTGCCGTGCAAAAACTGGTGTACAGATCTTGTCTAACACCCGCTGCTAGCTAGTTCAAGGGCTACACTTGCAGCTTCCCGTAATTTGGTGCGGTCATTGGAAGTGACTGGAGCCGGGACGGTTTGACGCCAGTAATTACGGCAAGAATCCAGTTCTTGCCACTTAGTTATCTGACTTTGCCGCCTGGCTCTCACAGTAGCCGAAATCATTATGTCACACGGTTAATTATACTCCGATCCTATATAGATAACCTTTGTTACGGAAATTAAAGTGCTTTGGACGGAAAGGGACTTGGAGGATTAGCATATCCTTTCCGTTGAACCAATGGACCACACTGATTGTAATTAAGCACTGGTGAGATTTTGTCCGTTGCAGGGAATTATGATGATGTTCCTTTTCAGGATTGCCAAAATCCACGGGAATGGAGTGCCATCAGAAGAAAAGGTAGCGTCAAAGAAAAACAAACTTCGCTGTGCAGTGATAGCTAGTGCTCCCATTGTCGCTGCAATCAGTTTACAATTCAGAAAAAGTTTTTTTTTACAGCAGAATTCAGAAAAAGGTTGTGCTAATAAGTCAGCCCTGGAACCAGTGATTTGTACTAAAACAGCACCCTTCTTTTGTCCTCCAAATCTCCAAGTCACACGAGACATTGTATTTTCCCGATTCGTACCCTTGTTAGCAAGCCAGGATCAGGTTCGTGTAGTGCATCCTTGGCAAATGCAGACTGAATAATAGTAGCAGTTTTTTAGGTAAATAAAGGAAACTTTTCTCTACTTTGGCCTCTGCAAGAGGTTTGCAGGCACAACAAATTTTCAATGCAGTTCAGGCTCCAGCCTCTGGCTGATAAACACTCCCACACCATAAGCGACAAATAAGGAATAAGAATAAATAATGGGAGGTATACGAGTCAGAAAATGAATAAAATAAATAATCAAAGGTAACGTATGTATGGACTTCGCGTGATGGGTTTTGGTTTTGTCAGGAACTATGTATTTATAATGGCCCTCATATATATATATATATATATATATATATATATATATATATATATATATATATATATATATATATATATATATATATATATATATATATATATATATATATATATATATATATATATATATATATATATATATATATATATATCGGAAATGTTGATTTAAGTCGGCTGCATAACCATGCCGCCTGAAACAATGGTCGCAAAAGAAAAAAAAAACATGATTGAAACAAAAGAGATATCGAACGAAGCAGAGACACAATATGGCACACAAAATACTGTTAATAATTTATAATCTTATTAGTCGCACTGGTACATGATGCATTGACAATGGGCGGGAAAGCATATGCAAATTAACTTTGCTTCCTCCATTTCCCAGTCTTCAAATCCCTGAATTAATGAAGCCACGCGCACCAACACCCTACTAGTAACTGACTGAGGCACCTGAGTGGCTCATCAGTCCCATGCAGCAACACAATACTAGAACCAAACTAATCAACCACAATGACACCGAATTATTGTGCTGCGCAGCAGCAGATTGCTAATACTGGATGATGGAACGGTAGTAGGTGTTGGGCACCCAGTTGGCCGGGATGACTTGGTTGGCCACCAGCGTCTTGCCGGACTCGTTGGTGATGCGCAGCGAGAACGGCGCGGTGAGGCGGTGGCCGGAGTCCAGCCTCCAGATGGATCCCCAGGACTCGCGCATCGGCGTCCACGACCCGGAGTTGGCCTCCATGAGGTCCACCTGTACCACGTCGCCGTCGCCGTCTTCGAACTCGACGAGCACCGCGAAGTAAACGGGGTTGGAGCCCTCCTCGACGTGGAAAGTCACCTTCTGCCCGGGGTAGTTGCAGGGCACCCTACACAGGAGGAACAAGCCATGTGATATGCTTGGATTAGGCAAGTTTCAGAACACTGCTTTCTCCACTGGTCTGCATGCACGCAAACGCCAAATTGTAAAAATTGAATCTGCATGGGGCCCAGTTAAACCGGTCGTTCTCGTTAGAGTTGGTTGAGCAAAAGTACAAGGGCTCCACGACGGCAAAATTAAGTAGCTAGACGGTCTCGAGATATGATTCTGTTGGCGTAGGGCCTCCAGCTGATGATCAGCCGGCCGGTCGTCTGTGCGTGGTGGTTCTGTGCAACGAGCGGTGCGTGTTACCCACCTCTTGAACTGGATGTCGATGATGCCGGCGTGGCGGAGCTCGTCGTTGCGGCCGGGCTTGGCCATGGCGCCGAACGCCGTGCCGCTGAGGTCGAAGTGGTACTTCGCCACGGGGTAGTAGTTCATGTCAGTGATGATCACCGTCTCTGGGTTGCCCGAGCAGGCATCGTTGTTTGTGCATCGTATCTGGAAAAGAAAGTAAAACGGAGTTGGTTACTCAAAAGTCAAAACTATGCTCCAGCTTTCCGTTTCCATTAAGGCAGGCACCAAAGGATCTTCGTCTGACCAATTACCTGGTAGCAGGAGCCGCAGCCCTTGCCGTCCTTGAACAGGGGCTCGTTGCCGCACGATGTCATTGCCGAGAACGGCGGCAGGTTCACGTTCTTGAATCCACAGGCGCCACCTGCATGCAGCAGAACAAATAATTGATGCATGGCACACGGCGGCGCACTGTAGTTCAGACTCGGTTCAAAACAACCCTAGCTATGCACTGCATGCACAATGAGACCATGTATGCGCGCACCGGCGTTCGTGTATACGTACCGTCGTCGTCAGGGCCGGCGCCGGTGGGCGCACCGTACCAGGTGGCCCTGGCAGCGTCCCAGTTGGGATCGGCGGTGAAGTCGGAGGCGTTAAAGCTCACCGGTCTCGCGCATGAGCCACACGTTGCAAGGAGCAAGAAGAGAAGTGCACCAAGTGCAACTACTGTGGAGGGCAAGGTGGCCATCATAGTACTTGTTGAGAGGGCAGCTATTAGAGCTATTAGCAGGCAAACAGGAGAAGTTCTGTGTGTCTCGATGGTCGAGGAAGAGCAACCTTGCTGTGGTATTTATAGGCAGGAAATGCATCGGAGGAACGCATAGTGGGCCGCGCGCGATCGCTATCAACGGCCGTTGCACCTGACTTGCTTTGGTAGCCGATCGGCTTTGGTTGGGGTCACATGGCTCTGGAGCAAATCATGGGAGGAATAGAGATGGCTTCGGCCTTCGGGTCATCAGGTCATGCGTGCGCTATTTTAGAAAGTAACGGCTTCTTGGCAGCTATCGCATATACTAACATTACTCATGTAGTATAAAAAAATACCCACGTACCGGTATGCCGTTAATTCTTTTGAGATTTTAAATACTCTCATATTCAGAAATTAGCAGTGCTGTACCTGCTGTGTGAGTGCGACGATGCACGTTAGGAACAGAAGACACGAGTAAAAAAAATTTCCTTTGCCGAGTGCCTGACACGTCGACACTCAGCAAAGGGTGCCGTCAAGTTGACGGCGCCCGTTACCTTTGCCGAGTGCTGGTGTGGCACTCGGCAAATCCTTTGCCGAGTGCCTGCCACGTGGCACTCAGCAAAGATTCCTTTGCCGACCACTTCTTTGCCGAGTGGGCTTTGCCGAGAGCCGCACTCGGCAAAGCCTTTGCCGACCGCAAAGGTTCCTTTGCCGAGTGCGGCCGGCACTCGGCAAAGGCGGCGGATCCAGTAGTGATACCCTATGCGTTGCTGCATGAATCATGAATAAATTTTACTCTAATAGAAAACTGAATATCTTTGAGGGCCAAACACCCTTAAGGAAACCTTGAAAACCGTCAGCAAAATCATTTGAGGCGGCCGATCCTCAAGGAAGGACCACCAAGAATAGAGAGCAAGGGAAATTCAATTACCTTGGGGGTCGGCGGCCAAAATGATTTCCTTGGGATTTAGCCACCAAGAAAACAAAGATAGGGTCAAAATTTTCATATTGTCAAGGAAATATAACAACCCTAAGGATAAATATTTTTCTTGAGTGTTGATTACCGCCAAGTAAATTACAATAACCGCCAAGGATCTAGGATATATGTTGATGATCCCCAGTGGCGGAGCTTGAAGAGGATTCAAGGAGGGGCCAATAGTAGTCAAGTTTTCTTTAGTGTGTAAAAATTTAAATCTTTATCACTTTCTAAGAAATAAACATAGACATCATCAAGAAAATGCAATTGTCAAGGGGGGGGGGCATGGCCCACTTTGGCCTCCACATAGCTCCGCCACTGATGACCCCCAAGGATATATAGTACTGATGACTCTAAATGATTTCAAATGAAAATATCATCAATTACAAAGTTGTAGATCTCTTCAACTCTGCAACGACCTTGATATAAACTTTGTTTTCATCCTATATTAGTATGGTGCATGTTAGATTTAAACTAACTAGACATCTCAACCTAAGTGCCAATATGCATTCTCTAATAACAACTCAAACCTATATCTTTTGTTGGATTAATGTACCAAGAAAAATTGTATTTCATTCAACAGACATGTCAAGGGAGCATCTGTGGCTATAAAATGAAATGTCTAACTAACTAGCCTACAATGAGTCCATTATATTATATTAGTGGTTAAGAGAAATGAAATTTTTTTCTTGGTGGCTACAACAATTTACTTGAGGTCTTACACCCAAGGATAGAGATATATAGAGATAGTGATAGAGATATAGATATAAATATAGATATAGATATATAGAGATATAGATATATAGATATAAATACAGATATAGATATATAGAGATAGAGATAGAGATATAAATATAGATATAGATTGGTACTAGCGCAACACAAGATTTCATATAAGTTGAGTCAACCTCCAATTATTTTTTCCCTACAAAATTATACATTTATAGCATATAACATTTATTATAAACATTAGGATTTATATTGATTTAATTGAATATAAAATAGGTCAAATCCAATTAAACTCAACAGCTACCTTGTACGGGTTGGCATCTTCGCCCAAATCTCATGTGCAAATTGGCATCTGGTGCAATCATATGACGGAACGTGATGTTGTCACATTTTCTTGCTGGTATATACGCCTCGTGTGCGTGTCCGCATTTTTGTGTAGACATTGGGCTAGTGGTGCTCTCGAAGTAATAAAGGTTGGCACATGCACGGCCCATTTCGCATTTAGGCTGTTCGGAAGTTCTGTTTAGCACCAAACACAACAAAACTAGCAAGAATGAAGAATCTTAGAACGGGCATCGGGAAAATAGGCAGCAAATTGACCCTTCAGTTGGCCCTATGTGCGTGAGTCAACTACAGCATATATATACTTGAAACCTTGAATGCTTATACGGCTTCACATCCTTGCCAGGATTACTCTCCTCATTGCGAATTGCCATCCATCCTCCATCCAGACATCGCGAGTAATGTTGCAGAAGACGCTGAGGTAAACGTGAAGCCTACGCAGCTTAAACTCTGCCCATGCAGTTGTGCGTGCGCAATGGAAAACATCCTCCGCTGGGACACGGCTCGTCTGCTAGTGCTTGCTCCACAGGCGCACGGTGCGCAGCAAGCAGCATGAACGGTGGACGCGCGGGTGGGTCCTGCAAATCTGATGCGCTGGCTCGGCTGATTCCTCGCAGGCTCACACAACTGCTAGGCTCGCAGCCAGCAAGCAGCGTTCGTGGGATTTTCTGGACGCCCACGCGGCACGAATCGAGATTCGAGAGCCTGTATGCACGAAGACGCGAGTGCATACTGGCTTCACCTATTTTTTTTTTCATTCCTCCACCCTGCGGATGATTAACCGTTTCCATTAATTAGCACTAGCAGGCATACATATCGTGGATGATTAACGTGTGTCCCAGAAACAAATTAGACGACGACACCTAGAGGCAGCTCCGCTGCAGCTTCTTTGAGTCCGCGAACTGGACCACGGCTCGGCTCGGCTCGGCTCATTGACGCACTCTTGGGCATCTTGATGCTTTCAACCATGACCAGGAGAAAATTATTGATTGAAAACGTACCTTTCGATAGCTCCAACATGGATAGGGGTTGCGACTTAGCAACTAATACTACATGACATATCATCACGTCTCTAAGATCTTGCCCTCTCTTATTTGAACTCTTTACTTATCGTATTTATAGCTTTTACATGTGATTTATTTGTGTGGCATTTACACTCAAGAGTAGATATAGATTTGTGATTATGATTGAAGATTAAAATTACACACCCAATTCAACCGCCTTGATTGCTCATAAGACCTTAGAGCGGTCTCTCATTTTAGCTTTTATTTATCCTAGAGTACGTGTATGTCCACTGCAGCAGGCAAGAGAAGCCAGAAAAACAGCACCATTCGTGCTACACCAAGTCGAGTGTTTTTCAGAACGCACAAACAACGCAAGTCGTCGTTATGATTCGCGCAGGCCAATACGGCGGGTGCTAGTGCGACGTCGACGTATGCAAGTCGTGCTGGATGCATTTTGCGTGCCTGCCCGCCGCTTCCTTGGCCCGCCGTGGGCCGCACCTCACATGCTAACATGCAGGGTGGCGGGCGCTGCGTAGCCGTCGGCATCCGATCCTTCTCGCGCGCGCGCACATGCCCGGGATTCATCGTGCGTCAGTTACTTCGTCTCTGTCCGGAGATACTGTTTGGACGGCCGAAAATGAAATGTATAGTTCTCACTTCTGAGGGGCTATCCGTTTCTCTTGGCTTCTCCTTTTGCAGCGGAAAAGAAATGTTATGGACAGCTGAACTGCTGGACGAACAGAGCACACTGTTATTGTTGTCCACCAAGCGCAATGATGCTTAGCAGTTTGAGAAGAATTATTTGACCTCTTTTTTTTTATCAACAAACCTACATGCTGATGCCTCAAATGTCAATTCAGATAAAAAGATCTTGTCAATTACCCACAACTAGCTTTCCTTTATTTGGTGCGGTTATTGCAAGTGACTGAACTGCTCGAGAGAATATTATGCCAGTAATTACGGGAAGAAGTCAGTTTAAGAGATTCAGTCATACTAGGGCTTCTACGGTCTACCTGGCCGACCCTCATAAATATAGTATGAACGATCGTATTTGTCATAGAATCAGCATCCTTTACGTTGAAACAGCCGCACGATTGTTAAATACTACCTCCGTTCCAAAATACAACATTTTGTTGGTGGTCCTTAGCGACAACATTTTACCGCCAACTAAGATCCAAAAGAGGAGGAAACTAAGCATGACTTACACATATATGTTATCACTTTGACCTATTTCCACTTGTATTGGAAGATTATTATTTTATAGGATATATACACGAATACGGCGGAAAATGTGACAAAAATACGCTTTCCGACAAAGCGTAGAAGAGAAACAAGGAGAGAAGCCCACCTGCCTTGCGAATCTGGGCCAAGCACTGATGTAGACGCAACCCTGGCCCAAGAACAAACCGACATGCAAAGGACGGTTGCGGGGAAGTGCCGCCTGGGTGCGGGTGCACCAGGGGCACAGCCGCACCCCCCTCTGCGCCTCTCGCCTCCAGCTGCCACGTGTCATCCTTTGGTGATCCCTCCATGGCGGTTGCATGCGGATTCCTTCCAAATATAATCCCTAAACCGACCTCTTGAGGCTATAAAAGGAGGGGGAAGGCTCCCATTATCGAGACACACCACAACTCAAGAGTCTCTCTCCCTGCACTTGTATCTTTTTACTACTTTTAGTAGTGTTTGGAGCTAGGCAAGACTCTTGTGAAGAACTTGACATCTAGAAGGAATCTTGGTATGATCAATATAAAGAGTTCTTCTATGTTCTTGTTCTTATCTTATAAATATAGTTATGTTATAGAATTAGAGCAAAGTTCTTATGTTATTCATTTAGCATATGAAACTTTATGCTTAATCTTTCATACAACATACATGTTCAGACCAAGACCTAAATTTAGGTGATGAGTTCTTCTTTAAGTTAGTCTTGGTCGTTATATTCTTGCGGGTTCGTCGTCC